AGACTGGTTGGACTGGTACCGGCCTAGACCTACCCTACCGCTACTGGACTCTAAAAATGCCAACTTTGTCTTTTTCTGCTCGGCCTCCAGTACCCCCTCACGCCAACTGCAGTGGGGTGCGGTATCGGCCTACCAGCCTACTTGAGTGTTTTTCCGCTACCCCAAGGGCCTCAGGGCCGCTAGCTTCGCAACTTGAGTGTTTTCCCTGCTACAACCCTCAATGCCACGGCCACAGGTAAGTACCGGCCCTACGGGCCTGCCAAACAAGCAAGTACCCTTAAGGGTCCCACACACACTCATACCAACAAGCACTCAGACAGGCATGCAGGTCACAAGCACGCACACACAGACAGACTTAGAAAACACAGTAATATGCGGGAATCTCATCAAGGCATCCATTCCATCGGCAGAACTTCAGAAATCAGCAGTGTTCTCAGTCTGTGTTATGACGGGTCATTACAAAAAAAAAAAAAAAAAAACAACAACTGATAGCTAGCTGACAGCATGACAGGCTAAATTCGTAGCTGAACCGTTGCCATTACAGCCGAGGGCCGAGAGCCGAGAGGCGAGAGGATTCGAAGTTGCAGCTTGTGGCGCGGTTTTCGGTTCGCGCATTGTTTGGGCGTATATAGCTGATAGCTGAGAGCGTGATAGCCATACGGCCGCGGCTATAGCTGATAGCTTATAGCCGATAGCATCACAGCTCATTGGTTAGATCAAATGGCTGTTAAGTGCGCAAGTTGCAGCATGTGGCGCACTTTCGAGTTTGCCCATCTTCTTGTTGGTAGCTTGACAAGTTTTGCCCCATGGGGCGCGTTTTTTTTTTCTTTCTTTTTTTTTTTCTCCCTTCTTTTTCGAGTTCTTGCACGTTGCTTGGTCGTATATCGATGATGATATTCGATTCTAGCACGTGTTTTTTTGAAGCGTTGTTTGCTCGTATATTGACCGGGCGTTCTATTCGGGTCAAGAGGGTAGCTGATATTTGACCCGGATAACTGCTGGCCGCTAGCCGCTACCTGTAGTTGCTAGCTGATGGCTGATAGCTACCGTCTTCACTCGAATAGAACGCCCGGTCATTATATCTGTATTTGGTGCAACTTTCAGTCTAGATACAGTGATAATGACCGGGCGTTCTATTCGGGTGAAGATGGTAGCTTCGACCATTGCTTGGTGTAGCAGCACTCGGATGCTTCGCAACAAACAAGGATTTGCTATCGCGGGCAGACAAGCTATAACAAGTCGAGCAGGAGAACAGGTGGTTGGCAGAATCTAGAGGACGGGCCCGGCGGGGATAGCTCGATCCTCCATCGTCGATGGGGGACTGCTCGAATGAATCAGTAGGTGGCAGGTACTGATTGTCCATAGCAGCTGATGGTTATGATGATGATGATGATGATGATGATGATGATGACCGTCTGCAGCTCGATCTCTCGTCGATGAGGGCATGAAAGAGTGGGTGGTAGGTAGTGTGTGATTATCGCAGCGGACGGTTATGATGACGATGACCGATTGCTGCGTTCATCATAAGCTTTACTACCTAGTGTTTATTATTTAATGCATTTCAAGCACTGCTGGTGGATTTTTTTGTTCGTTTTCATCCATTGGCAACGGATTTGAAAAGCCAGCTTGGATTGAGTTTTCGATTGCGAAGTGAATAACTTCGAAATCGTTTCGTTTTCCGAAGTCATCAATTTTTTTTTTCTTCTTTTAAAATCGAGGTTATCATCATTCAGGAATCCAAAAAAAAAAAAAACACCAATTGTGGG